GGGGGGGGGGGGGGGGGTACGACGGGTCCACCTGCTGCAGGGCTGGCTACGAGTGCGAGGAGATGGCGGACTGCTACTCTGACGTGCAACGTCGGCAGTTGGTTGAGTCGGTTGTTTTTCTCTGCTGTGGATGCGACTGACTGGCTGACCAAAAGCGTCGGCGTCGATTGATAGGTTGCTTTTATTCTGTGGGCGTGGTGACACACGCCTTGAGGACGCCCCCGTCCCGTCAGTAACGCCGTCAGTAACGCGTCTCCGGGCACGCCCCCCTCCTCCTGGTGTGGCTCTCCAACGTGGGATTATTCTTCCCCACAATACTTGTTGCCTCCACTCCCCCTCTATGGATGCATCCGCCTCATAATTGCCCCGCTCAGTGGATGAGAATGCCTCTCCGTAGAAATGCCCCCCCCTCCCTCCCTCCCTCCCTTCCGTTGAGTTCGCCAACTGTTGGATCCTTCGGCTGCGGTTATAGGGTTAGAGCGTTCGTCTTACCCAGCAAGAGAGTGTTCGTCAATCTCCACTATGGTTGTGTGCTCCTCTCTACCAACCATTGTGACTCGCCGTCGACTCTTTCCTCTTCGCCGTCCCAACAATTCCTCCCGCCTGCCTGTGTGTTGTGTGTGCTTTCTCGTTTATTGCTTGCTTTCTTTGATCCGATTCCAGTGCCGCCCACGCGGCGACCGCTGCTCCGAGGGCTGGGGGCAGTGCGGAGGGCTGCACTGGGAAGGCCCCGAGTGCTGCTGGCCCGGCGCCGAGTGCGTCGAGCGCAACGAGCACTTCCACCAGTGCGTCCCCGAGGGAGCCATCCACTGAGCATGACGATAATCTGTGGTCTTGGTTGCGTGTGTTGTTTATCGCAAGTTCGCGTTGGGCTTGTATTTTAACGCATGTGAAAAAATGAGGCCGGATGGTGAGATCTTGCGGTTCCTTGTCGTTGTCGTTGTTGCTGTAGAGGTGCTGTAGCCGTTTTTGTAGCCAACGTTGTTATGACCCCTATGGTTGAGGTCGTCTACCACATGCTTTTACTCAATAGCATGGTAAGTTAAGGTCGCCTGAATACGTCACCTGTTCCACGTTTTTCTTGAGGGTGTCGTCGCCTTACGGCGATGTCATCGTTGTGCTGTGAGACAAAACATGAAGTTTTTGTAAGTTTCTGGAGCATATTGTCTTTCCCACACCCGCTCCACGTGGGGGAAACGCTGCTGGTAATTATGATTGGTTGCTGTATGTTGGATTTTGCCGGAGAATCGTGTTACGTTTCCCAGCAGGGGAGGTTTAGGATGGAAAGAAGGCGCACGTTGTCACGAGTACAGCTACTTGATACGTGGTCTTTTTTTGGGCTGTCGCTTTTCTCAAGAAGGGACGTTCGCGCGCGCACGCCAAACGCCTCCGAGAATAATCGAACACCTCGTTCTTGGAAAAGACAGCGTAAGAAGTGGATTGTCGTTTTTCCATATCTTTTTTTGGGTGTTCCCGTTTGGAGAAAAGAGACAGCCCCCAAAAAAAAGACCACGTTTGTGTCGACTTTAGTGATCTCGTAGAGTTTTTGGGTGGGTGGGTGGATCACATGGTTTATAAAGGGAGGTTTTAGGACTGCTGGAGTTTCTTGTGAATGAATGAAGTGCTTTGCTGCGGGCATTCGTGGCCGTGTGGGATGTGGTGTAGGAGGAGGAGTGGAGGGTGTAGGTCCGATGAGCGGATGGTGTAGTAGGTCCGATGAGCGGACGGTGTAGGTCCGATGAGTGGACGGTGTAGGTCCGGCGAGTCGGTTGATTTGGTTCAGGATTGTGAAGGCTCTCCATCGCGATACCGTCCTACAATGCCAAATCTGCTGGCTGTCGATTTTCATGGGACTTGTGGGTTGGGCGGTTGGGGGGGGGGGCTTGAAGTTAGCTTGGCACCGGATGGAAGACTAGAGTTTTATCGCAATGTCGTCATGTGTTTACCTGTTGTCGATAGTTCTGGTGGCCGTATATGGGTTATTGGGCTGGTAGGGTGTCAAGAGTGAAGGTCACGTGTTTTGAATACACGCATGAATGAAGGGAGTCGTGTGCCCGTACACCGTTTTATCCCCGTCGTGGTTTAAGCGTACCATGTTAGAGGTCATAACCGTGATAAACGCCAGAAGCGTTTGTGTGCTCGTTGTAATGAAATCATTTTTGGTTGTTGGGGGAGATACAGAGATGCATCTCGGTGACGGGCTGTTGGAAGCGCTGCTGAGTTCCTGCCTTTCCAAGGCAAGATGTATGTATGAACGGCGTAGACGCACTCGTTCGTGCTCCTCTTGTGATGATGGTGTTGTGATGTTTTCGGGTTATGTTACAGGCACGTTGTGATACAAGGTGGTGTCTTGGGAAAAGAGGGTGCATACTCATGGGGTGATACTTGTGTCGTGTTGCTAATTGGAAGCCGATCTCTCGTCGCTTCTCGTTGGTTGTCGCTGCTGCCGTGAAGTACGGGGAAGGTGAAGGATTTTCCGCTCGGGGGGGGACGGCTTGGGTCGGGCAAGGTGCTCACTGCTGTACGTGCATTCTAGAGTGGTGGTGATGTTCACATACAGTGAGTTTGGATGCTCTGCGAGGTTTTGGAGAGATCATGAAATGATCTGGTGGTCAAGCGTAGGTAAATGCATGCTGGTGGTGCAGATGGTAGGAGTTACGCGCGCGTTGGCCTTTTATCAGTGTTGAATATGTGGTGTCGTGCTCGTGGATTGAATCTTGAAGCAAAACATTCACGATGTACTACATCGCACTACTATTGGACATGCTCAAAAAATTTCGGACGGTGAAACATCGCTTCCTCTCCTTTTGTGAAACGTAAATACCGCAAGAAAGAGTAGCAGAGTTGGCACCGGGTGCGATCGTTTTTTCAACTGTTTTCTTCGGGTGTTAGCCGCACCTCGGTGCCATCTCTCCGACCGGTGCGATCCGATCCCGATGACATGCACACATTTGTTGTTTGTACTCACTCCGGTGCCATCTCCCCGACCATTGCCATAGCATTGATTGATACCAGTGTAGGTACCCACGCACGCACACGGCCTCTGAGCCGTAACAAAGGCGGCGAAATACTTGTTGTGCACGAATAACATACCCCGAACAAAGCGGCGAAATAGCGCATCTGAGGTGTTACCAGTACACACGGTATCAATTTATTCCCGCTTTTGTTCCGGGGATACCAGTACGCACGCTGAAGTACAATAGTTTCGGGTTGTGTAAGGTGGGGTAGGGTGCGGCTTGTACGTTGTGTGTGTGCTTGGTTGAGTGTACGGTTGGCAACTTCCATACCAAAAAAATATGAAAACAACTGGCATCCCGCGTGAACCGCGACCATCCAATCGTACGTAAAGGAGTAGCGCTCCGCTGACTCCGTTCCCGCGTATAAGAGGTATGTACATGTTAAACATTTCGGCAGCTGAAAAGGCGTTAAATCTTGGATTTGGGGGTCGGAGAGATCACACCGGGTCCGATCTTACCGACCCCGGTGCGTAAATCGACTGCTTTTTTTTTTCTCGGGTTTTTGGTCGCACTCCGGTTGCCATCTCTCCGACCGGTGCCATCTCTCCGGCCCGGGCTAACTCTCCGACTCTACAGTATTGACATCTCGGGTTGACGGGGCTTTCCGCTCCCCCGTGTCCAATGAATTTCGGAGATACTCCAAGGGAATGAATATGACTTCTCCAAAGTATTCAAAACTAGCTGTAAGCTTCAGTCTCTCCGACCTACATTCATTTCTGTCGCATTCTTATTCCAAGCCCCCCACCATTGCCCGACCGTGTCTCAAAGGTCGATCTCGACCTATGGCACACATATCGCGACATATTGCGACGGAAGGGTGCGACGGTGCGCCCTGATCGGTCCCGTTGACCGGTTCGCCTTGTATCCTGTCTTGATCGCTCTTCTGGCTTCTCGAACAACAACGTCACAATAATAGTATCGAATCTCAAAGTCCGCTTGGCAGCAACCAACGAAGATCTTCATTTAGGTGGTGGCTTAGTAAATGAAATCGTGTGTTGGCCGAGTGAGTAACGCGACATGGTGCCAAGATCCACAACACGACTAAAGTGCATTCGGTGAGTTGACGAGCAAGCAAGTTGCATGTTGTGCCAGAAGTGTGCGACAATGCACGCTGTCCTAGTCCTCTTGACCGGTCCGCTTTCTATCATCTATTCTCGTTGGCTCTTCTTGGATTCTCGAACAACCAATGTCGTCGAAAATCGAATCTCAGGGTCGGCGTGGCAGCATCCAACGGCATCGTGTTCATTTCAGAGGTGGTTTACGATGTAGTGAACAAAAATGTGTGTGGCCGAGTTACCAATGCGACCCAGAGACAGAAGAAAGTCATGACACGACGAAAACGCATACCTTACACCGATGCCCCACCATGCTGCATGCGTAGTGCACGATCGTACGTGCTGTTCCCTTACTTATCTTCACCGGTTCGCCGTCTTGTCTCTATCGCTCATTGCTCATCATTTTCTCGAATATGTTTTGACAACGTCGAATCTTGTCTAGGGGTCCAGATGAACTCACTCGTTGTGACAGCCTATTTTCAGTATGTCAACATAATGATGAAATATCAAATGTGCATCATCAGAAACCAAACAACATATTTTGTTCCTTGTTGAGGTGTTCTACGTTTTGGCATTATTACAGGTGTATTTTTTGCGATATGCTTTCTATGAGTACTTGGTCGAGGCCACGGTGAAAAGGTACATAGCGTGACTGAACGACTGAGCCGCGACCTGGACGACCATTTACATCGTGACTACAACAACGAACGTCGACCGGCGAATTTCTCGACATCGCACCAGTTTGCGGTAGTTTTACGAGTTGTACTGTGACCAACGAAAATATATTTTTGGTTTCGTCGTGTCCCGAGCAGCTCTTCCTTCATTTTTTGTTTCCTTCTTCCGTCGGGTCGTGATCTGTCAACGCAGTAAACTCAGCCAACAGCTAACTAAACCCGCTGGAAAACGAATCAGCTTCAGACAGGCAACGCCGACGATGCTTGCCACGTTGATGTATCACAACGAACACCGGTGTTTAGTGACATCATGTTTCGTGAAAATTTGATCCTGTTCTTAGGTAGCATAACGGTCCTGTTCCGTGCAACCTTCTGAACGTTACAATTGAGTCGCAGCCGATTGTCACGCCTTCTTGACTGCAAAAAAATGCCTACTAATAGAAAAAACGAGGCGTCCTCTCCCGCTCGCCAACATCTCCCACAGACAATTTCCGACAGATAGATGTCGCAGACGGAGAACGCCGCAAGGTATCATAGGTCCACCTGTGTGAAGGCGAGATCAACGGTCAACGGCAGATTTTTTGACACATCCACTTCGACTGTAGCGCTGATTCGTTCGCGATTGTACTGCAGGAGTACTTTAAAAAAAAAATGTGAAACCTTGCGGACAGCAAGAAGAGAGTTACAGATGGAAACTAACCCTCGTCCCCTGACCCCTCGAGGCAAATGCCTAGCCACAGGGCGGAAAACCAAGCATAAAACCGATCGATATTTTTTCGACCCGCCGGAAAGCCACGCAACCAACCCCAACAGAAGACACCAACAAAAACACTTCACACCGGCTTCACATTCAACTACAACAGCCACAGGCGGGCTTCGTCGCACGGATGCATGCACCACTGCACTGAAGCTGCACTATAGAGAGACAAGGCTAAAAAAAAAACTGGGGAATTCCCGCGGGCTATTCCGCAGCAGAAAATCTTCTTCGCAATAGCAAGAACTGCGCAGCAAAGTAGCACTGTAGCAGCACCGTGGATACAACAGAAAATTTCTCAAGAAGCACCGTAGCAGTATTCGAGCCAAAGGGAGCGGCAGACGCGCACGAGCCCATCCGCGCGCGCCCCGACACCCCCCCCACCCCCCCACTCTCCGTCGCCCCCGTCGCTCCCACCCCTCCCAAGAACGCCTCCCGGCCGCACCGTCACGAAATCCCGGAAACCAACATCCGGCATGGGTTTCCCGGAGATGAGGCTTTTTACGAGCGCCCCCGGAGGATAGCGGCGCACAGCGCGGCGGGCTCTCTCTGCGTAGGGCTGGAGCAAGGCCGACACTGGAGCACGACACCTTTTTTTTTTGGAGGGGGGGGAGGTGAATTTAAGAGGACGAGCGGGAGTTCTATGATGGATGTTCGAAATGAACAGGGGGGGGTGTTGCCGCGGATTATTTGCAGTCTGATGAGTCGTTCAGCGAAGACAGCAAAGCAGCAATAATAACCTGCGAATGACAAACGTTTGAGCGAAGACAATTGGGCCGCCGAATGCCTCCATCGCTTACCTCTGAAGCTGGAAGTACACCATGTTTGGTCCGCCTTCCCCTGCAGACGATGCGGTAGCGGGGGCACAGCAGCGAAATTCAAGACTGGCGATGGGGGTACAGGGGAACATGACTGAAATCAAAGGGAGACAAAAAAGCACACAAGTACACAAGAGATATTGGGGAACAAGGGAAAAACGTCCCATCAAACTCCAAGTCATCAATCACAATGGGCACACATACGCGGATGTTTGTCACGACGGGATGACCCCCATTCGAGATAACTAGCCAAGAAAAAATCGAACGTCGTAGGGTAACAAACCACACCGCTGGACCGACTTTCAAAGCTCCATTCCTCCGTAGCACAACCAGCGACGGTGACGAGAATTGTGGTATTGGCTGCGTCTCGTGTTCAGCCCTCCGAAAGCGCATCTTTTGGTAGTCGGCATCCTCTTGGTTGTGATGTAATCGGTCCACGAGGTGTGCTATCTTACGTCACCTACGGCATGGCACGGAATGATCCTGCTGTCCGGCGTTCAGAAAAAAAAAAAAAGCACCAAGTGAACACGCCTGCTCGTGACAACACTTCTCTGAGGCGACGATGGTGGACTGGCTTTGGCGAGAAAATGGAAACACCACAGCGAGAAAAATACGCCCGCTCGTGAAAACGCTTGTCACAGTCTATGGTGGACTTTGCGGATGAAACACCAACAACATCACGGAGACATTGCCGAGAAAACGCAAGCAACACAGAGAGCATGCAGAGGCTCTGCAACAACAGAAAAACACCGCGGAGACTTCGTCGAGAAAAACACAAAACACAATCAGAGAGAGAAAAAGAAAGACTGACTCATTCCCAGTGGCAACACCAAAACAGCAGAGACAATGCCGGGCTTTGGCCGCGAGAGCAAAAGCATAACCTGACGTACACTGGCTGGGTCCGCCGACAACGGCGCCGCTGCTCGCCCCGCCGTCTGCTTTCTTCCCGCCCCCCGCGGTGCCACCACCGACGGTGAAGAGGCCGCCGGCAGAGTCGCCGCCGCCCCTATCGGCAGCGGTGGTGTGGGCACAGGAAGAAGAAGGCGGCGGGAGCGCCGCGTCGAGAACCTGGGTCGGTCGGGTTGGCAAGATGTTCGGAGGCAGGAATGTGTCCATGAGTGATGTTGTGTGGTATGCATAGATGTATGCATAGGTGAACTATTATTTTTGCGTGTATTTACGTATGAATGCATGCACGAATGTGTGCACGTTTGAAAGTCGGAATGTAGGTACGCGTAGTGTGAATGAAAGCACGCAGCCTGGAATCGAAACAATATGAGCATCGAACGGCAATTGAGGATGGGCGCGGAGCGGCATCTTGAGCAGCGTCCCTTGCCACAAGGGGGATGGTTTGTTTGGTGTTCACTTCAAAAAGCGGTGTAGCCGAGTGACTTCACCTGCGACAGCTTGGACCACACGAGCTAAGCAGAGAAGTTCAGAGCCGCTAACACGCAAGCAAACACAGGGCAGGTTTGCTGATTTCGTACACAAGACAAACTGATACTCATTGCAACAAACTCGAACCACCCTGACGTTCTTGTAGGGGTACGCGCGACAGTCAACAAAGAGGGGAACGCACGCACGTCCCGGTGTGAATGTGAACAGCCCATCCCAATCATCACATTTGCACCCGTCCCAAATCTTTGCCGCGAAACCGGATAAACGAGTCGGAGCTGTCAATAACACATGGCTAGATTTGCGTGCGCGACAGGAGGAAGGGTCACGCAGCCGTGACAAACCCCACACCGGCCATTGACATGGCCACCTTCTCGCGATTAACAGCTTCATGAGGATATAGAATAGGGAGGGGAGAAGCAGACCCTATTCCCCAACCCTAACCCTAACCCTCAACCTTAAACCCAACTCCCCCGACGGAATGATACTTCCAAACATGCTTCCCAAAAAAAAAATCCTACTGGCCCGTTCACAAGCAGTAGCGACCACTAATGTTGGTCGAACAGGGCGTTATTAGGGTTGTACCCCTACCAGTCTCCAAACTGCCAGTTACGAAGATTGTTGAATTGCCCTGTAGTCTTGGATTGTAAGATGTGAACACATAGTTCGACGAAAAACAATGTACCAGTGGCTCTCGTTGCATTCTCTACAACGTAGGCATCAGCAAAAAACTACCCAAACAGAGTGAACTTCAAGTTCTCAGGTTGGATCTAAGGTAAGATTCTTAGAACATGCCGAAGTACAAAACGACACAGAAAGACTACTCGTTCGAGATATTACCACAACAGTCGAACGGGGTCTGCTCAAGTCTTCCCACCCAGCGAGTAGAGTGAAGCCGGCTGGAAACTAGGCATATTTTGAGTCTGCTCAAGTGTGCACACTGAAGCATCATGCCAGTGACACATCTTGAACTACGTACAAAAATTAGATACATCCGTGCAGGAAATCAATTTTCCATCCCCTGTAGTTCTCTACAGGGTCAAAAGACAAAAACGTCTAGGGGAGATTGTTTGATAGTATCTCATCTGTGTGACGACAAGGTTGAATGAAGCAAACGGAACAATTGCCGTGAGGGCTGACTTCAAGCGACTACGAACGACAAAAAAAAAAAAAAAAATCACGAGTCCATGTCTGCTCACACCTGTAGCTGAAAGCCCGACAGCAGCCTCTCTGGGCTGGTGAGCAGCAGCAGGAACCGGTACACAGGCAGCTCGTTGATCAGCACGAACATGCACGCCAGCACCGCCTGTTGCAGCAAAGGCATTGAACACATGAGGTTCAGTCATCAGGGTATCCGTCCGCGAAGCATGGCTACCAGGGAGCAGCAAATACAAAAAGGGAGAACGACGAAAAGCAGGAGATAAGAAGACGACAAAATCGCACGTGGTACGGACTCTTTTAGCGAGAACCGAGAAACGAAAAAAAATGTCGTTGGACGAGTCGGCCTTGACGGGTCTAGTGCCTCCTCAAGCGCGTACCCACGCACGCTTGCGCGAGTACTCTGTTGTACCCCGAAGGATGGTGACCAGCTTCTGGGCCATTCTTGTGAAACGTAGCATGGGCCGGCAGAAACCCGGCATATTTGCTCCGTCCAGGCGTTGTAGGGATGCGAGGTCAACGATCCAACGACTACGCCATGCGTTCACAACAGTACCCTGGCCCCACCCCATAATGGTGGTCGAGCAGGTCATGGTGTGCGGGGTTGAGTGCGGGGTTGAGAACACTCGCTCCAAGCAAGGGGATGTTGTCGCACCACCTTATGTTGAATTGATCAAGTACCGTCGAGGCAGTTACGCAAATGCTTCCAACTGTATCTTGGAAGTGAAAGCACCAGAAAAAAAAAAAAGTCATTCGCAGCGGTCATCCATTGTAAGCACAAGAAGCCGTACACCCTTAGCAGGATGCAGCGCATACTTCATGCGGCTGGCCGAACACGTTACGGCGCTTCGCGCTTGGTGCTGTGCGGGCCTGGTCCGGTGAAAACCCGGCGTGTTCGGTCCCGGCTTTGCAGGTATGCGAGGTCGGTGGTCTAACAACTACGGCATGCACGACTATGAGTACACCCCCCCCACCTGGTCCGGTGAGAACCCGGCGTGCTCCGTCCCGGCTTTGTAGAGATGCGAGGTCAATGGTCTAACGACTACGGCATGCACGACTATGAGTACACCCCCCCCACCCCCCATCGACACCCTCGCTTTGCGCAAGGGCCATGGCTAACAGCGATACTGGCAACATCGCGATGGTTGTTGTCGTCGTCGTCTTCACATAAAAAACCGTTCCGATCTCTCTCTACCCAGTACCTTCGTATGTCCGTCCTGATCCAACACTCGACGCGGTCGATTCCCGTGGTCGCAGGCTAACCTACCCGAAAAAGGTGCACTCAAATAAAGTGGCCCCGAGGGGTCCGCAAGTCAATAGAAATCAACGCCAGATATTCTGGAGTCCTCCACTCCCTCTGCGCGCTATACGAGGTAACAACTGAGACTAGGGGTCACCATCACGGGCCGCAGAGAATGAGGTACACCCCCTTGGTTCAAGCTTGGTACTTCGCAACAATGGTGGATGAAGCCCCCAAAAAAAAAAACGTCCTTTCCGATCCTAACTCCACAGACCACGACGCTCTTGTTGCCCCCGGCCCACGGAGCTACGCACGAAAACCAGCGAGGCCCACAAACGAAAAGACAACGAAGAGATGACGCCGGCGAAGAAACGGGGGCGACGCACCTGTCCTCCGACGGCGACGGCCTGCACGATGCAGAAGAAGGTGTAGTACACCGAGATGGTCGGGGTGAGGAACGACAGCACCGTGAAGACGAGGGTGCCGAGCAGCAGCTGGCAGGCGTCGTACATGCACGTGTCCACCCGGCACCTCAGGACGTTCCGCTTGCGGCCCCGGAACAGCTGCCACAGGGAACCCAGCAAAGAGCTTTGTAAAAAATGGAGGAAGAAGTAAACACACACACAGACACGCGCGCAGAGGCCTTCTTAACACCGGTTTGAGAGGATAGATAGCGGTTCATGACTGGGTTTCTATAGGCACTGATGGCGACTTCTCGCTAGGCTGGCAATGATAGCGTTTCACCAAAGGGTTTCGCCGAATGACGCTGTGGCAGGCACATCACGCTTCTAGCCTCGGAGGGAAAAATGGCAGTTCACGAAAGCGTTCTGCTGAAGGAGGTGTTGCAGGCGAGTATCACGCTTTTCGTCTACTTGGCTCGGGCGCTGCGTGCATCACGCTGTTCGCCCTGCCCCTACACGGCACATCTCCCTTGCTCACATCGCCACTCATTTGGCACCGCAGTTTGTCAGACCCAACAGATGACATCATCGTTGATGGACCCAGTCAACAACAGTGTCAGCCCTCCGGACGAAAACAACGTGACTTACGAGCGGCCTCCAAGACACGGTCAAATGTCCCGCCCTCTTCCCTTTCCCACCTGTGCAGGTTGTGAAGGGCGGCGAAGGCGGTGTGGGCGGTGGCCGTGTGCAGGGTGAGGAGCCTGAGGATGTCGTGCGCGACGGCGAGGGCGGTAGAGAGACCCCCGCCGGCCCCGCAGATCGCTATCGCCTTCATGGTGGCGCCCTGACACACAATAGAAGGATGTACAAGCATGTATATTGCTGAAGGGAAAGTTTTTCACCGCGGATGTTTTGACAGCTCCTAGCCGGACGGACTATGTAGAGGTTAGAGCACATTGTGCAAACCAACCAAGCACAAAGACCAACGGTCGCCAAAACAGCATCGTCAAGCAACAGCAACAACAACAACAACAACAACAACAACAACAACAACAGCAGCAGTAGCAACATTAACCACAACAAAGCAACAGCAACAGCAACAGCAACAGCAACGACAACGACAACGACAAGGACAACAACAACAGCGACAGACAATGAAGCCAGCAAGCAAAACCTTGATGGTGCTCACGGCCCACCTCCCATTGGGCCAGCTGTCCGACGATGGAGGCGTAGGCCTCCATGCCGACGAGAGTCAAAGACCCCAGGGTGTGGGTCAGGGGAACGTTGAGCTTGAAGCCCGCTGGGAAGTAGTTGAGCCACTCTAGCTCTTCGCTTAGCACCTGTGGGGATGGTTGAGTGGGGGGTCGTGGTTGGGGGCGGTGGGACACGCTCACGCCGTCACCACACAACACCACCGCACAGAGGCTTGCTAACGCCTTTCCCTTGGTCGGCCGGTTGGCACGGAATAGCCCGTTTGGTTGACTTGGGCTTCTGAAGACACCAACAGAACACACGCAACTGGCACACACACACACACTCAAACAACCGCCTCAGACACCTCACGCACTTCGAGAACAACACCGCTCGCCGGGCTCTCGGTAGAACCCCTCCTTCCCCCATCGCCCCAGCACGAAAAATAAAGAACGCCTCCGACAACAAAAACAAACACTCTCACGCACGTCAACATGTAGCAGGTGAAGAGCCTGGTGAGCAGCCCTTGCCGCGGCCTCCGTGTGCCTCAGCAGCAGCACGCACGCGACAACGCCAAGGGAGGCGTCGGCAGCGACCCCGAAAAGCCAGTGGCTCAGCCCCACGAGCCCTTCCACCTGGGCGACGGAAGGAGTAATGCGACGGTTGTGGGACTGTAGTCACACTCGTCCAAGGTCTCTCGCGGGCTCCGCGGTGTGGATATCATTAATATAGGGTATATGTGACTGGGTAAGATGAAAAGATCGTCTCCGTTAAGGACGAACGCGGAGACCGAAGCAGGTGACGAAATATACCATACCCCCTGGAACGATTATCCAAGTTCGAATAGTCCACACAGCAGAAGATAGGTTATGGTGCCATGATGTTGTTGTTGTTTTTCTTCACATTAAACTCGTGTCAGTTGTCCCAAAATCTAGCAAAGACTCGGTCCGTGGTCACAAAAGTGCTAGAGCCATCAGAAGATCCAAAGAACACACACACTATTAGCAAGAGAAGGGTACACAAGCCCGAGGAGGTACACCTACAATCCCTGCAGCACGTTTGAGTGCTCACAACTGAATTACACGCCCACACACAATACAATTCGACGACAGCAGCAGCATCACCCCCCTTGTCCCTTATAAAACCAAAATGGATGTTTGTCGACTACAGCGTACTTCTGTCTGAAGTGCGCTCTGTACAATAATAACACCATGGTGCACGGTACACAAGCTCGTGGCATGCAGCTGCTGCCTGAAGTGCTGTCAGAATGAGTCCGTGGACATACAATGAAGAAGAACACCCAACCAAAGTCATCATTGCAATTGACAATCACCCGAATTCATCCAGATCATCTGTGGTAGGCACAGCAGTGTAAGCATCGACACTGACTAGAAATCGTTCCACATTGAAGGGGTCTTCCACGATGCAGGTACACAATTAAGGCACCCGGGTTATCCGCGCCATCTCTGCCGCGTCTCTCTACAAAACCAGTGACGTCCTCACACACACCCCAACACCTATATTCAGGAAAAAAACGGAAAATAATTGACAACACAAGAGATGTTTGTCCGTGCGCCACGGTTCGATGCCGTCCGCCTGCTCCGGTTCCGCTGCTCCGGTTCCGCTGCTCCGGTTCCGCTACTCCGGTGCCGCTGTGGCCAGTCCTAGCACGACCAAACTCGACCCGCTCCGCTTCGTACACGCTCTCGTTGCTGTCCTTCCCAGTCGGTTCCTCGCTTTCTCCCTCGTTGCACTTTCTCGGTCTGAAGATTCTCGCGCCGAAGGGTCAACCAGCCCAATCAGCTCGTCACCACCTGTCCCCTCCTCCTTTGATAGCAAAACCAGGCTACTGAGACAGCACAGCTCCCTCTAGCAAACCTAGGGCCGTGCACATAGTGCCCGTCCACCTTTCTGATGACGTCTGCCTCCGGGCACAAAGATGAGATGGGCATTGCTGCCTACACCGACGGCCTGGAGGCCCGCGCATCTGCACCTTTGTACCTGACGCACCAGTGCCGACCCAACTCCACCACTACCCACGCCTCGCAGCGGGTGCGCCGCAGCAAGAAGGGATCGGTCCCTTGAGGGTGAGTCTAGCCCTGCTCGCTAGAGGCCCCCCCCCCCTCGCTACGGGTCATGCCTACGCAAACCTTCCCGAGGCAGGGAGGGGAAAGAGCAGTGAAGCGGCGGCGTTGGAACCGGCTCGTCGAGAGCTTTCCGACAGCCCAATCATGTTTTTCTGCCACCCTCTTTGTCGTGGCGCAATCGAGCTGTCATCGAATCGGTCCAGGGGGTGTGCTATCTTACGTCACCTACGGTACCACCACCGCCGTCCATCCCATCACAAGTACGGGCCTCAGAACCAAAAGACTCCTCTTTCACCGTTGACAAATTCACCCGATGCCCAGCTGCTGGCCAGTGTGGAAAGTTACCAAAGGTATGCTACACAGAAAAACGTCCTGAACTGGGTACGCTACACAAAACCGCTGCTTTAGCCTTCACAAGCAAGCCCATTATCCAGCCGGTTTTTTTCCCAATCAAGACTTCAGCATATCTCCTTGGCCTGTGGTAATACCTCCAACGATTAGGAGTGTTTCTTTCTGTGACAATAGGTGTACTCTTTGATTGTATGTGTACTTCCGTAGTTCCTAAAAACCGCTGCCAGTTGGAAGTACGGCAGGGGTTGTTCGTTGCCAACCGCTGCCCAAATGCAAAGTACGGCATGGTTGTCCGTTTCCCAAAACTCGCTCACACGAGGTTATTCTTCCTACAGATAAATCTTGAGTCCGTGCTACGTAAACCCACGGCCCATCGAGGGTTCGGTACGGCAAAAGCGCTGCTCGTTTGCCAAACTGAGGGTAATAGGGGTAGGGTTAGACGGCAAGGGCTGTTCGTTTCCCAAACTGAGGATGATAGGCTTGTAGGGTTAGGCGGCAAGGGTTGTTCGTTTGCGAAACTGAGGGCAATAGGGTCAGGGTTAGGCAGCAAGGGTTGTTCGTTTGCGAAACTGAGGGCAATAGGGTTAGAGTTAGGCAGCAAGGGCTGTTCGTTTGCCAAACTCACCCGTCTCTCCGCGGGCTGGTGTCGCTCCTTCCAGCACCTGCTCAGCCGCAGCGGCAGCGACAGGGCCCCCCTGAGCCGAGCCGCGAGGTGCGCGCAGACCAACGATGCGTCGGAGGGCGAACGCCACCTGTGTCCGGAGTTCGATTTTGTACAAGCAAGGAAGGGGCGTTAAAGTTTGCTGAAAATTACGGGGAGGGTCTCTTGAAGGCATCCATCAAAACAAACAAAAACTCGTCCCAAAAAGGACGTGTGCTGTAAGGGTTTGTTGAAAATTATGGGGAGAGGGTCTTTTGAAGTCCTTCAAAATGCACCAAAAAAATTCCTCTAAAGGGGTGTGTGCTGTACGTGAGGGTTTGTTGAATTTACGGGGAAGGTTTTTTGAAGTCCTTCAAAACTCAAAAACAAAATTCCTCCAAAGAGACGTGTGCTGTAACGGGTTTGGTGTAAACCCTGGGAGGTGTTACAGAATTCACGAAAGTATCGGGTAGTATTTCGAAAGGGTCACAGAAGTCACAGAAGTGCAGGCATGGGTATCTACCCTGGGGAAAATATTTGCACGTAAGGGCGTGTGTCCTGTACAAATTGGTTCTTGCAATCCCACGGGAGGGGCTTGGAAGTCCTGCCGAGCTCAAAGTGTGAAACTGTGAAGGCGTTGGTGAATAATGCCGAGTAGGTCGTTGGACGCCATGAAGAAACTCACAAAACCGTCGGGTAGGACGCGGAAGCGTGTGTGTCACAGAACTCGCAGGAATTCCGGGTAGGGTTTCAACACGTGCCACAATACTCACGGTACGGGGATACACCCGGGAAAAGCACGGGCTCAGATCAAGCGACATGAGGTGACACTCCCCCATACAGGACTCAATATGACCACCAAGGTGCGACCCTGCCGAAAAAAAAAAAAAATCGCACTCGTGACCCTTAATATAACCGGGGCAGGGCACGTCGGACGTCCTTGGAGCAGCCGAGCTAGGAGGCGCAAAAATATGGTGCCACATGCGTACAGGGCGCACACCTCAACGCTCAACACCAAGCGCGAAGCGCCGTGAGGTAAGAGTGGGCGAGTCGCATGGAGGGTGCGCTGCATCCTGCGAAGGGTGTTGGGCATCTTGTGCTTACTTCCTCGCATACGGATGAACGCTGCGAATGTCTCGAGTCATGCTCTGGTGTGTTCACTTCCAGAGACTGCCACGCATGAACCTGCGATGCATTCCAGTGCGACGCAAAACTCTCACAGCTCATCTCCCAGGGGCGTCCAGACGACCTTGCTCTCCAGGACCACCACACCCAAGAAAGCCATCCAGCTCGAAACCCTCAGGAGCAGGCAGCACCCGTCCAGGAGGACGCGCCCGGGGATGCTGACCACTCCCCCCCCGATCGATCCCACCACGGTGCCTCCCCCCTCCATTGGCCCCGCCGATTGCGACGCGTCGTACCCGCTTCTTCTCTTCCGCGTACCCCTCGGGTCTCGAACTCGCTTCTTACTCCGAGGCATCGGAGGCCTCCCCGTCGCAAAAGGCGCCCCCCCCCCGCCCCCCGCTACTGCGGTGCCCCCTCCCGTCGCGACAGCCCGTGAAACCGCCGCTTCGGTCTCTCTGCTGCAAGACCTGGAAATGGAAGGCGGTGCGAAAGGCTCGAGGAGGGGCTCTTCGCTCCTGTCGGGGGAGGAAGAGGAGGAGGAAGGGGAGGCCTCGTCCGCGAAGGTCACCGACCTGCGCACGGACCTCCCGCTCCCTGCTGCGCCTCCCCCGTCCCCAGCCACCGGCATTGTAGAATTCCTCCTCCCCCGTTGAACACCGTCGGCCACCGTAGTGTCACCGGTGGCGGCGGCCGCGGCGGCCGCGGCGGCGGTGGCGGGGGCCGCGCCAGCTGCTGCTGAGGCGGCATCATCAGCCGCCGCAGGACTTTCCCTTTCTTCTCGCTCGCGCCGCGCTCTACCTCCCCCCTCCCCCTCTCCCCCTCCCTCGCCGAGACTTGAAAGCCTCCTTGCCGGCGGCGTGGGCGATTGCCCCGCCCCTCCGGGCGCCGCAACGCCAACACTGAAGGCAGGGGACGAAAACTCTCCATCCCCGGGGTAGGGCGTTTCGTGAGCAGCGGCAGCGGCGGCGGCGGGGCCCTTGCTCCTCTTACCCTCCAAGAGGAGGATGTCCCGCAGGATTGTCCGCAGCGCGCGCTCCAGGGTCAAGGCGCAGCTTACCTGAGGCGGCGGCGGTGACGGCGCCAGCAAATATTAGTGTGGTGTTGACGGGAGAGGAGGAGGCTTGTGCACTGAAACGAGCTCGCGCTTGCGGCACCGCGGCCGTTCTAAACCAACCCAGCCAACACACAATAATATAATGTACTACTCCCACTTTTCTTAAAATGTAAATTACCAAGACGGGGACATTGCTGTCGATTTAAGGCCGCGTGAATGGTGTTGGGGCTGACGTGCACTGATTTGTATGCAAAGGTAATACCAAGGGTACACACGACATCGCTCTCAATTCAAGGTTGCCCTGAGGTGACCCGACTCCCCACTCAAGCATGCACCCCTAATCAGGAGCACTACCCACGCACGCATGCCCCACGGGCGGGGGGGCAGCAGATAACCCCCCAAAATATTCTCGCTTCGCGCTTGGTGATATGATACCCTGGTCCGGGGAAAACCCGGCGTGCTCCGCCCCGGCTTTGTAGGGATGCGAGGTCAATGGTCTACCGACTACGGCATGCACGGCAACGAGTACACCCCCACCCCATCTCGCCTGTCGTATGGCGAGGTCCAGATCCGTGGGGTCTTCCCCCCCGACCCCGACCCCGCCCCCACCCCCCATCAGCAGGGACGCCGCGTCGTGAGCAAGGCCGCTCGGGTTTCCAGTTTCCCGTGCGCTAGGCGACACCAAGGCCGTGCCGTGGCCGATGCGTCCCCGCCGCAGGCCACCGCTGCCGCGACCGTTGGTCCCGCTGCTGCCGCCAGCTGCAGCGGCGGCGGCGGCGGTGCTGGTGGTGTCGGTGCTGTCGCCTTGGGAGATACTAGCGTGTTGTCGCGAGCTGCTCCGGCTGCTGCTGCTGGCACCGCCTCCGCTGGAGCTGGGTCTGCTGAGGGAGAGGGGGGGGGTAGGGGGGGTGCACTCATAGTCGTGCATGCCGTAGTCGTTAGAACATTGACCTCGCATCTCTACGAAGCCGGAGACGGAGCACGCCGGGTTCTCACCGGACCAG